TAGTCTCTGAAATTATCAGGCAGTTGGCCCAGGGTATGGGAACACATGTCAGCTGGACCCCAGTTGTCTTGGGCAGAGTGTTCTGGAGAGCACCTGCTAACTGCAGATTTATGGCTTCTGTAGGTTATGCTTGGCTTCTGTAAAATAGTAATTGTTGCTTAATATAATAGAAATCATTAAGGGGGTCTTGCACCTGTAAGCTTGGGGACTTAAACTTTTCACCCCTGGTTATGGTTTCTCTGTACAAAAGCTTACCCTAGAGATGGCCAGCGACAACTTTCATTCAGCAAAACTTTGTCTAAGTGGTCTTCTCTGATGAAGAACCTCACAACACTGGGATTTGAACCTGGGTGTTCTGCAAGAGCAGCCAGTGCTTTTAACTGCTGAGCCATCTTTCCAGCCCTGTGTTTACAACATTTTAATATGAAAAATCTCAAGCATCCATAAAGCCTGAAGACTTTCATGGTAAATATACATCTAGTCATCACCTACTTTCTACATTAACACTTTAATATACTTGTTTAACCATGTGTTTAAAATAGAGTGGAGCCAGCAAGATGACTCAGCTGGTAAAGGCTCTTGCCATCAAGCTTGATGACCTAAATTCAATCCCTGGGACCTACAGGTGGAAGGAGAGAACTGGTTCCTGAAAGTCTTCCTCTGACCTCCACATGCAAACCATGGCACATGTATATACACACATATCGGAAAACTAAATGTAATAAAATTTTTTAAATAGCTAAATTTGTTTTACTTCCATTTTCCATCTCTATCAATCTTATTTTATTAATGCACTTAATACAAATATAACAAGATTTTTTTCTGGATTTTGTGGTATTTGTGGCAATTGTTAGACTTTTTCTTAAAAATCTTTTTGAGACAGGGTCTCCCTGTAGCCCCCAGCTGGTCTGGAATTCCCTATGTAGACCATGCTGGTCTCGATCTCACAGAAATTTGCTTGCCTCTGCCTCTCATTGCTGGAATTAAAGGCATGCACCACCATGCCTGGCTAAAACATTCTTATCACCTAAGAAAGTCATTCATTCATTGAGAGGTATGGTTTAATTTTTTTTTTTTTTTTGAGACAGGGTCTCCCTGTAGCCTCACCAGGCTGGCCTTGAACTCACAGAGATCTGCCTGCCTCTGCCTCCCAAGGGCTGGGATTAAAGGCATATGCCACCGGCTATGATTTAATTTTTTTAAATTACATTTATTTATTTATTCAGTTACACACGTGTGTGTGTGTGCGCATGTGTGTGTATGTGTGTGTCTATATAACATAGGAGTGTGTAGAGGCCAGGGGAAATTTTGGGGAGTTGATTCTCTCCTTCTATCATGTGAGTACTGGGAATTGAATTCTAGTCATGAGGCTTGGTGGCAAGTGCCCTTACCCCCTGAGCCATCTGGTAAGCCTGAGAGGCATGTTTTTGAAGTGTATGTGCATAGATCCCAGATATTGCAGGTAAATGAAGTGAGGAGAGGAAGACAGAATTAAATTGCGAGAACATAAAGTTTTGAAAGTCAAAATGATTAGTAGATGACCAACATTCCAGACTCTAAGAAAGTACTAGTGATTTGCTGTAGACCATAAGATTAGGTTGGCTGAACCTGAATAAAAACCACAGGACTAAGTGCAGCCTTGCTGTGGTCCAAACCTTTCGATAATAGACACACATACCAGATCTGGGATGTAACTCAGTGGTAGAAAATGTGCTTAGCATAAGTGAGGCCCTGTGTTCAATCCCCAGCACCAAAATCATATACCAGGATTCTCCTGTGGCCCTACATCCTGAAAGACAGTGTTTGCCAAATGCACTATGGTGGACAGTTGGCAATGTGTGGAAACATTTTTGGTTGTTCCAGGAGTAGTGCCACGGCATCTTACTGGGTAGTGTCCAGGGATACTGCTAAATACTCTCCAACATACAAAACAGCCCCTCACCATTATTCAGCTCAAAATGTCACAAGCACCTGCAGGAAGCTAAAGGTTAGGGTTGGTAATCTACAGATAGAAATCAATGACAATACTTGTGGCAAACTTTTTATTTTTTATTTTTTTTGAGAAAGATGATGTGTCTGTTTTATATTTTAAGATCAAGAAAGAAGAGTTGGAGAGATGGCTCAGTGGCTAAGAGTACTGACTGCTCTTCCAGAGGACCCAGTTTAGTCCTCAGCACCCACATGGAAGCTAACAACTGCCCACAACTCCAGTTCCAGGGGATCCAACACTCTCTCCTGGCTTCGGAGGACATTGCATGACATGGATGCACGTACACACATGCAAGCAATACACTCATACATACAAAAATAAAAATGATGAAATATATCTTTTAAAAAAGATCAAAAGCCAGGCATGGTGGCACATGCTTTAACCCCAGCACTCGGGAAGCAGAGACAGGCAGATCTCTGTGAGTTTGAGGCCAGCCTGGTCTATATAGCAAGTTCAAGGCCATCTGGGGCTATAGGGAGACCCTGTCTCAAAAACATCAAAAAAAAAGATAAAAAAAAAGAGGGACTGGAAAGGTGGCTCATTGGTTAAAAGCACATATTGCTTTGCAGAAGACCTTAGTCTGATTCCCAACACTCAAGCTGGACAGCTCACAACTATCTGTAACTACAGTTCTTGAGCGATCCAATGCCTTTGCCCTCTCTGGGCACCTGCACTCATGGGCACATATCCCACCCCCACATACACAGAATTAAAAGTAAAATAAATATTTTAAAAGATGAAGAAAGAGGAACAATAGCTTACTAGTGAATAAAACAAATACAAAAATTATGTTTCCATTTTGGTGTCATTTTGGGTAGGGACTTGGACAGAGGCAGTAAGTTGCTCATGACTAGAAATGGACATGTAGATGTAGTGTGTATAAGGCATTTTAGGGAAATCAGCGAGGGCTGTGTTAGGAAGATTGGATTTTTTTTATTTATCTCCTCTGGCTTCTGGGACCTGTGATTTAAAGATGAGAGGGAGAAAGAGGAAAGGGAGGAAAAAAAAAGAGACATTTACAGTTTTCCTACCTGCTCTGATTCTATAAGCTGAGCAGTCAGGATAGAGATGACCAGTGGCCACAGCATTGTGACCCCACTTGAGGAATTCCAAGCCAAAGTCAAATCAGAGTGGGGCTTCTCAACTCTACTTTATAGTGTGTGATCTCCACAGCCCCCACCTCTGCATCAGCCCCAGGAATATGGCTGGCCTATGAGTCACGTGAGGCGAGAGGGGTAGAGGGTCCTTGCAGAGGGAGGCAAGTAATAATCACACCCATTTTATAAACGAATAAACTGAGGTAGCAGAGAGGCTTGGTACCTTGTCTAGGACCATGGAGCTTATAAGTAGAGGAGCTGAGATTTGAGCCATGAAGTCTAGTTCTAGAGTCTGTACTGAAACACCCTTTCCTTGACATGTCATTGGGTATGTCAATTTCATTGACGTGTAACATAAAGCACAGAAAAAATGCCCAAATCAAAAGTGTATTAGTCATTGAATTTTCATAATGAATGTACATTTGTACCAGCACCCAGATCAAAGAACAGAAAATGTCCAGCCGCACAGGAGCCCCAGTCACCCTTTCCTCATCCTATTTTTTTCTCTTTATTTTTATTTGTGTGTGTGTGTGTGTGTGTGTGTGTGTGTGTGTG